CCTGCCTATAGGTCAGTTTCAGTGATGCTGGGCTCTCAGAAGATAGAGGTTGATAGTGAGAGCTGTGAATGGAGCCCATACCAATCTGGAGATCTGGCCTCAATATGCTCTCTTTCATTCTGATACTGCCTGCTTTGGCTTCATGCTTGATGGGCTGTGGCATCCCAAGCTCACTGCCCTTCTTTCATGATTCATTGCTTGAGGGTACTGAAGGCTTGGTGATGTTCTTCTGGGACCTGTTGCTATCATTGTTCTTCTCATCTGACTGCTTCTTTATAGTTGAATGAGATATTAACATTCTAGGAGGGGAAGTACCAGTGGATGACCTTCTCAGTCTGCCTCCCCTCATCACTGGTCTGCCAATCAGTCTGATGGAGACTGCCTTATTCTAGTGCTGGTCTCTAGGGAGTTGGCATGTGAGCCAGAGATGGTTGTCTGATGTTGGTTTCCAATAGATGAGCTGTGGAATCTCAAAGCCACTCTAGTGGCATTGAGGGAGTCTCAGGCATAGTCAGCAATCCCATGGATTGGGAAGGTGATAGAGAGGTTAGAGGAGGGAGACTGCTGAAAGAAGTCTCTCAGGAGATCCTCATCCTCATGATTAGAGACAGAGAGTCATATCCAGAGATTCTGAAATCCTGTGAGATGAGTGTTGCTGTTTTTGCTGCTTGATTGGGGTGGATATCTGTATCCTTCTTCTTCTTGAACATTCTCTTGATACAAGCGGCTAGACCTGGCTTCAGGTAGGAGGCTTGTTGGAGGCTGGTGGGATATTTGTCAGGATTCTGAGATGTTATGGAGGGGAAGATCAGGGGTTACATTTTATAAGATGTGTCAGATGTGTTGGAATTCATTGTAATGTCTGATGGCCCACACAGTGCCAATGATGGAAGCAAGGAGTTCAAAGAACTCTCAGTCAAAGTTCAGATCAGCAGTATTAATAGAGGGCATGAGAAAAGAGAAGATCAAGCTTTGAGCTAATTGTTAGATCCAAGTGTTATATAAACAGAAACACATGATAAACAGAAGTCTCCTTGCACTTCAGGAAATTAACTGAGTTCACTGATACATGTTCTGATTGATGTGTTGCAAGGCTTTAGGATCAGCTTGAGTATAGAATGGTGTAAGAATAAACTTTAGCTCAAAGCTGAGGATTTACCAGTAAAAGTGAGCCTTCTTAAATACTGTATAAGTCTGAACTAATTATACTACTACCTATTGTGTGTTGCTGCATCCTTTGTGCCCATTGTCCTTGGGCATCACTACTGTACAGAAAAGACTGATTGTGCATCATTAGGCAACTCTATTGCATCAAAAGACAATGACTGACTCAGCTTAGTTGTGATGACTAAGCTTTGCCTCATGGTCTTAAGTGCTCATCTAGGCACTCTGACTAAGCATAAATAGAGATTAATCATAAAGAATAGAAAAAATCATAACACCTATCATAAGATCTATCACTTAGTGGCATGAGCCTTTTGTTTTTTATCTAGCTTAAATCATTATTATATAGTGATGAACCAGAAATTGTTTGCTCTATAACTCCCTGCAGGCAGGAAACACAAAACCTCTTGTGGTAAGTGAAACTAAGGCATAGAATCTAAAGACTAGTTCAAGTGAGTCTAGTCATATATCTCTGTACAGTGACTAATCTCTAAAGAGGTATAGCAAGAAGTAGCTACAGGGGTATGAGGCTCTGAATTGTTTACAGTGACTCACAGTATGTATGCAAACTTTTTTATAACAGAAATGTTGCATAAGAATCTGAATACTAGATAGTGCAATCTATATACAGTGCAAACTTTTATTGTTGGAATCCTATATACAGTCCTGATGGAGTCTAGAGAAACAGTTAGTGTTTTTCAGTTACCTTTCAAAGTCTTTTGTTAGGTCTAGGCAGTGTAAGGATGACATGCAAGAGCAACAAATCACTTTTGTATTTTTAGGAATGAAGCAAGACAAGACAATATTTCACAAATTTATAAGTTTGCTATTGTCATATACAAGCCTTGTAGAGTTGTCAAGATGCTATGGCACTCTCAGTCAAAGAGTATTGATCTATAGATGGTCTGTGTAGCTGGTTCTATTAGAGGAGTGTCATACTGATGTACAGTTTAGTATAGGTGTCAAGTAGTCTTTGTATTCTTTGTCTCTTTTTGTCTATATTTCTTTTATACACTACTTATACTATCTTTTTACTAATACTAAGTACACTATATTTAAACAGCCTTTGTAACCACAGTACTAGCTTAGTGAGCCTAACAAAGTTTTTACTACATAGAGCCTTAAAGGCTGTGAGGCTTTTAATAAACATTGTATATTTAAAAGTTCATATAGCTAATAGTATGCTAGCTCTTCTGATATTCTTTATAAATATCTAATCAAACATATGGTTAGTTCTCTGCAGTCTATTACTCTTTCACATGCTAGCTGTAAAAAGCTTAGACATTCACAGCCAGCCTTATATACATGTTATAATAGACCTTGTGAGCCACTTTAGAGTGCCATGTGTATACTAATAATAACATATGTCTGATCAGTTATCACAGTGCCAACCATGCCTATGGTGCTTATTATGGTATAGAAAGTTTGCACATCATATAGTTGATGAGAAAAGTTTATAAAGCTGAGAAAAGTTTATAGACAAATAGAAAGTTCACATATAACATATAATCTTTGTGCACAAGAGGATATCAGTGAATAATAGACAGTTCTTGATGAAATTACTGCTGTTAAACTTGAAATGATTGGTTTACTAAAAGCCCACTTAAGAGCAGAAGTCAAATAATTATTGGGGCCTATGATTTCAGAGTGCACAGAGTCTAGAGACTCATCAACAGCTTCTTTGAACTGTGAGTAGGAGGGGTATCTCTATCATCCTGTTGTCAGATCATAGAAGTACTATTTCTATAAGCTCCATCATTCTTATGCTGCATCTTCAAACTGGATTGTACAGAATATTACTTGGTAAGGGCTGAACCTGGTGAGGCTTATGGAGAAGTAGATGCTGTACACCTCAAAATATACTTTGCATTGTTGGAAAAAGTGTTTCAAGTCCAGGCTTTCTCTTTTGAATAGTACTGGCTCTCAGACAATAGTCAGCTTTAAATTTCCCCAGGGCTTCATAGTTTCAGGCTCCTATGGAGACAGAGTGTTGAGCAGCAGTAGTGGCAGTATTAGTGGTAGAGCTGGCTTTTTGAGCCTAGGCAAGGACTGCAGCCTCTGGTCATACTGAGAATGGTCTGGCAGTTCTTCAGAGGATGAAGAAAATGGTACTGCTAGTTCTTCTCTCTTTTTCTTTGCCAGAGGATGCCAATAGAGTCAAGAGTCTGACATCTTCAGACTCTGCTCCAGCAAATAGATAGATGGATGTGGCCAGGACTTGCCAAGGAGTCTGCCAGAAAGGGTTTTGGCTTCTCCAACTGCTTAGACTGCTTTCTGTTAATAGTAGTTGTTCAGATGCACAGTAAGAGGAAGGAAATGAGAGCTCCCAGTGCCTCTTCACATTTTATACTATTTCTGCTACTCTAGTTTCTGCCTATGCTCTGTCCACTATATCCCTGGTGTGCTCTGGCAGTGTGAAATATTGGAGTCCTTTGCTGATGTCTAACCAGTGGATATCTGTCATTTGCCACTCTCTGAGCTGCCAGTAATGTCCAGGCAGATCCTTCTACTATACAGATTCATCAGTTGAGAATATATTCATATCCTCTGCCTGGCTCATATGAGTCTACTGTTTCTGATTTAGTGGACTGAGGCTTGCTCCCTCTGAGGCTATATGTATCAACTCTAAGGACAATCTGACCAATGTTCTGCTCTTGGATTGAGGTGTTTTGAGGTGTGCTGGCTATGAGACTGGACTCATCTACCTACCTGGAATAAAACTCAGATAGGGCTCCTGGTGTATGCTCTTAGTAGTAGTCAGCAGTGGAGGCAGCTATGTTTCTGGTTGGAGGTCTGCTTTTATGGCTGTTGTCCTCTCATACTGACTCTCCCTTGTCAGAGGTGGCCAGTCAGATGATGAGAGAGGGTTTAACCCCTTCTCCTCCAGTTCATACACTTTTGAGTCCTGGAGATCAGACAATGTAATCCCCACTTCTATGTTCCTTCAATTTCTCCACCAAGACTTCTGCTGTGAGTTTAGGCACTTCAACCCATGCTTATAATCAGATGCCTGATCCAGCAAGTCAAGAATTGTGACCTTCTCAATAAGATTGGCTTCATTATCCAACCAGTGCTTATGCTTCTCAAGCTTTGTGAGGCCATCTTTGAGCATATCAAGCAGTCTTTTCAACATTGAAAAGATGTTCCCAGCAATTTCTGACTAAAAGGCAGACTCATATTGTGATGCTTAAAGAATAAAGCTATTAATTTTATAAATACTTTTGTGCAAAATGCATTAAATTCAGCAAAAATTCACAACTTTAGGCCAATTATAGATTATGCACCTCTCTTAAATCTATGAGTTATAGAGTATGGGAGAGATTCAATTTTTAAGTGATAAACAAGTTGGTAGATAGCCAAAATCTGTGGGTTACTGCAGAGTATAGGTTATTACAGATATGAGTTAAGACAGAGTCAACTGTACTCTGAAGCACAGGAGAAGATGAAGTGCTATGAGCATTAAAAGAGGTATGACAAGGAAAAAAGTACATATGTGGAGGAAAAGGTGGAAATGAAACTGTCCTTTGAATCCAGTGTTGAGAGTATGAGCCATAATCACAGGTACAGTTGTACAGACTCCAAATTAGTTACTGGTTCTAGAAATTTTCATTGTTAGCATAGCTACACATCTTAGCAACTTACCACCTGCTAAGATGTGAGTATGTTATATCTATTTATACTGTACCTTACTGATCTATAGTAGATACATCTATTTTCTTGCTTTAGATACTGTATATATCAATCACAGTGACTTACCACCTGCTAAGATATACACCTATTTTCTTGCTTCAGACTAATTCTTGTTGCTCTTGTGTTTGCTACACAGTCTCACTGTCATGTCTTCTCAGATTCTCAGATCCACTGCTCAACAGGTTATGGGCTCTGATGATATGTCTTCATCAATCTCTACTGTCAAACTTCTTAATCTGCTTTGCCTAAAAGATGATGACACAAACTACATCCTATATAAGAAACAGATCTCAAATGTGGTCACCTCAAAAGAACTTAGACAAGTCCTGTATAGAACTGCTAAAAAGCCTATAGAGATAACAGAGACAGATGGAGACTATTACCTACCAGAAAATCTTGTACTCTTATCTAAAGATGAAGCTGAAAAGCAACTGATCCTTCAGAATGCATATGAACAGAAGGAGGCCCAGGTCTATGAGATGATGTATAAAACAGTCAGCATCTTGATCTTTATGCAGATCAAAAATAAACCCTCTACTGCTGCAATGTGGAAGAAGCTCACTTCTATCTTCAAAGAAAAAGGTGTTTTGACACAGCAGAATCTACTTAACAAGCTCCAAAATCAACACTGTCCTGATGATGGAGATATCCAAATCCACCTTACCAATATATCCAGAATGAGAGAAGAACTTGCCACAATAAGGAAGTCTATAAGCAATGACTCCTATGCTACCTACATCCAAACATCACTCTTGATAAACTACAGACCCACACTCAAGATACTTGATATTGCCTCACAGATGATTGGTAAGTCTGTATCAAATAGCCTTCTGATTCAGCAGATCCAAGAGACTGCTGATCAAAGGCAGGTGGAGAAGGACATTGACAAGTCTGTACAGAACTCAGCAATGTTCTTGAGCAACAATAAAGGGAAAGGAAAGGGTAAAGGAAAGGCTACCAGAAAAAGAGAGATGAAAGAGAGCAACAATGGCCTGCACTGCAACAACTGCAGCTGTGGCAACCATGTTGAGAGAGGACTGCTATAGAGAGGAAGAAGGCAAAGTAGAGCAAGCACCATAGGACAAGGCTAAAAAGACAGCCCAAGCCAACATAGCAGAGAAGACAGATGATGAAACACCTGTAAACCACAGATTCACAGCCATTCTAGATGCCAAAGCACCAGTCCTCAAGGGCACATCTGACTATCAAGCAGATGCACAAGCTCTTGCAGCTCTGGGCAATGACACAGTATCCAAAGTCATTGACATTAGCACAAGCAACCACTTCACTGGCCATTATGAATAATTTAGCAACTTTATAGCCATCAAGCCTATCTCTATCCAGACAGCAGATGGCTGAACATTCAGCATAACAGGTAAAGGAGATTATCCTACCCAGTTACCAATAGGACCAGATCAAAAGCCAATGCCTATCACTCTCTATAACATCTACTACTTGTCTAGCATGGCATTCACACTCATATCAGTCAGCTGTCTAGATTATAGTAGATACTTGCTCACCATTAAGGATGGCCATTATATAATATAAAGCCCACAGCCCAAATGCAAAATAATTAGCATAATACCAGTGACTAGAGGCCTATATCACATAACTGCCTCTATAGCACCTAAATCCATATCTAACACCTCTATTGCTGCACTCTCTGAATGTCTCATAACTATGAAAGAGTTTCACAATCTTATGGGCCACTCAAGCAAAGCTATTCTTATAACAATGATAAAATCTGGGTTAGTATATGGTATCCAGGTTGACATAAAAACTAATATTGGATTCTGCTAAGCATGCATCCAAGCCAAAGCCACCCAAAAGCCATTTCCAAAGAACAGTCTGAGAAATGAGACAGCAAAAGCATATGGTGATAAAGTCATAACAGATATCTGGGGATCTGCTGACACTGAGTCAATCAGTGGTCACAAGCACAGTAACACTTATCAGAATATCTCATCATAAGAAGAAAAGATCTACTTTATAAAGAAAAAGTCTGAATCATACTTATGCTATCAGAAATATGAGTCTTGGGCAAAGGTGCAATGTAATGTAAAGAACATACAGATACTTGGCTTGGACCAAGAGAGAGAATTCATGAGTAAGGAATTCAAACATCATCTTGACCTTGCTGAAACAGCTCATTATCTGACAGTCCACAACTCATCTCAATCTAATAGAATGGCAGAGTGCAGCAACCACTTGCATCTTGAAGGTGCTCAAGCAATATTGATCTAAGCAGGGCTGCCACTATATTTATAGGCAGAGGCTGTCTCACACAAAGTATGGCTAAAGAACAGAACAGCCCACAGCACATTAGAGGGCAATATCATCCCACATGAGAAGGCAACTCACCAAAAGCCTGATCTCTTCCAGCTACATGAATTTGGATACACTATATGAGTTAAAAAGCTTAGGTGAGGCAAGCTCCAACCTCAGGCAGACACTGGATGCTTTGTTGAACTTGATGAAGAATCCAAGAGTATTTAAGTATACTGGCCCAGACAGAGAAGAGTTAGTATTAAAAGAGACATCTACTTCGACAATAGCAATGAGCCTGAAGATGTCAAGATTGAGAGGGAGACAGTAACTAATCTCAATTCAGATACTCCTGACTCAAGCCCCAAGCTCCACAACTAAGCAAGTGAACTCATAAAATCTAAAACCCCACCAGCTATATCTGATGAATGTTCACTATCATCACTTACATCACTTCCAGACACTCTCAGTCCTGTCCCACATGAATGACATATCCAAACCACAGATAATGCTAAAAATCAAAAGGATTCTGAATCTCTCAGAAGAGGCCATCATGCTGAAAGAAAGCCAGAAGGCTTCTATAATGATAACAGGCTATCAAAGCAATCTGTGACCAAGCACACCCTTATTATTGAAGATGAAAGGAGAACTGAGTCTGAAGCAGAGCTTGAAGCTAAGGAAGAAGAGTGATTTGCTGGCCTACAAATGTTCACACTTGTGACAAGCTATGGAGAGCCTGAAAGCCTACAGGAAGCACTGAAAGGAGACAAGACAAGAGAATGGAAGCAAGCTATAGGAGACAAGCTGAATGAAGTTGAAGCTCTGGAAACTTACAAAATAATTCTCAGACCACTAGGTGCAAATATAGCTAAATGCCAATAAACTTTTAGAACTAAAAGAGATGAAATGAACAGAATCATATGCTACAAAGTATGCTTTATACTCAAAGGCTTCTTTCAGATATATGACATTGACTTCTACAAAACCTTCACTTCAACTGTCTGACTCACAACCCTCTGTATCCTACTATCTGTTGCAGCAAGCAAAGGCTCAGTGATTCAACAGGCTGATGTCAAAAATGCCTACCTGCAAGCAGAGCTCAAGAAAACTATCTATATAGAACTTCCTTCTATGTATGACATGTTTCAAATCATTCTTAAGCATTTGAAGGGCAAGCAGCTAGTATGCAAGCTCTTCAAACCACTCTATACCAGCCATCAGAGTGCAAATGAGTGGTACAACAAGTTAAAAGGTGTCTTTGCACAGCTAGAGTACCAAGTATGCCAGTCAGATAAAGCTGTATTATACAGATTCATTGGCAACAAGTATACTATTGTCACTGCTGCTACTGACAATCTCATTATTATAACAGACTCAGATGACTCTGCAACTCTCATCAAGAAGCAGCTAAGCAAGTACTTCAAAATGACTGACCTTGTCACTCTTTTCTGGCTATTCAGTATCAGTATAAAGCATGACCTGACTGCATAGACCATCATGCTAGACCAGCAGGGATACATTGATACAATAGTCAAGGACATGAGTCTAAAAAATGCCAGAACAGTCACAACATCACTTGAGCCTGGAGTCAATCTCAGCTATGACTCATCTTCTGTCTCAAAAACTGTTCTATCCCCATGCAAGCAGAGCCAATACCAAATAGCCATAGACAAGCTAATGTATGCAATGCTTAGAACACATTCTGATATTGCATTTGCAGTCACCACTCTCTCCTGCTACATGAATGAGCCAAGAAGGACCCACTGGCATGCTACCATTCATGTCTTCAAGTATCTAAAGGAGACAATCCATCTTGCACTTATACTCAGTGGCAAAAATATGTCTCTGACTGGATATACAGATGCTAATTGAGGCTTGCAGATACATGGGTATTTGATTTCTGGCTATGCCTTCTTTGTTGGAGTTGGGGCTGTCTCATGGAGTTCTAGGAAGCAACCAATCATCACAGCATCTACAGCAGAATCAGAGTATGTTGTGATAACTCACTCATCAAAAGAGCTGCTCTGAATATGAAAGATATTCACAGAGCTCATCTGCCAGCTCATCAGCTCCACAACTCTCTTCTCAGACAATCAGAGTGTCATATGACTCACCAAGAACTCTATGTTCCATACTAGAATCAAGAATATTGATATACAGTTCTATTTTATGCATCAGACAGTCAGTCTCAGACAAGCTGATCTCAAATACTGCCTCACCAATGATATGATTACTAATATTTTCACCAAGTCACTGGTCTGAGTCAAGCTAGAGAGGTTTTGCACACTGCTAGGCCTTGCATAGATCAAGTGGTCAAGCTTGAGAGAGTGTGTTGAGGGTATAAACCATGACCACAGATACAGTTGTATGGACTCAAAATTAGTTACCAGTTCTAGAAATTTTCATTATTAACATAGCCACACATCTTAGCCACTTACTGCCTGCTAAGATGTGAGTACATTACATCTATTTATACTGTACCTTACTGATCCATAGTAGATACATCTATTTTCTTGCTTCAGGCTAATTCTTGTTGCTCTTATATTGCTGCACAGTCTCACTGTCATGTTCTCTCAGATTCTCAGGTCTACTACTTAACATATGGGCTATAAAAGAATCTCCAAATCTGGTAGCCTTAGCTATGCTGAAAGGATGGGTACACCTAAAATGGCAGGCTGAAGCTGATCAGAATCTGATCAATATACTCCGAAGTATAAGAGAAGATGAAGCACTGTAGATGCTAGAAGAAGTATGACAAGGAAAAAAGTATATATGAGAAGGAAAGAGTGGAGATAAAACTGTCCTCCAAATCTAACTAGAGACACTGAACATCCATCAAGTGGTGAGCACTGAGATCTTATTAAACAGTGGGTGCATGAGAAGTTCCATAGACAAAGACTTTGTCTGATAGAATGAGTTCAATATCTGAAATATTTCTAGACCCATTTCAGTGTATAATGCAGATGGAACCCTCAATAATAGAGAGTCTATATCAGAGTACTGTGAACTACAAATAACCACTGGAAATAGGCATGTTGAGTGAATAGACTTTGCTATAACTTACTTCTACAACCAAAAAGTGTTTTTAGGATATGACTGGCTTTGAAAGTATAATCTATAAATAGATTGAAAGAAAGGAGAAGTCATTTTTGATGGATGCACCTGTATCAGAGGATAGAGAGTCCACTCAGACTAAGACCAACCAAAAGAAATGATATGGCAGAAAATGGAAGAGAGAGATTGACTCTTAATGGTAGACTCTCAATCAGCCATAGAGATCTGAGCAGCAGATACCACTTCAAATGAGTTAGCTGCTAAAGGATATGTGTTAGACTCAAGTATTATATGAGCATAAACACATGATAAACAGAAGTCTCCTTGCACTTTGGAAGATCAACTGAGTTCACTGATGTGTTATCAGCTCAGTGTGTCACAAGGCCAATGAATCAGCTTGAGAGTAGAATAGTGTGATAATAAACTTTAGCTTGAAGCTGGAGATTCCCAGCAAGAGCAAGCATCCTTAAATACTGTACATCATCTACTAATAATATAACTGCCTATTGTATCTTTCTGAGTCCACTGTACTCATTGTCCTTGGGCATCACTATCATACACAAAAGG